TATATTGTAATCCATAATCTCATCGATTGGTTTAAAATTTTCTATTGATAAATGTTAATATTAATAAGGTAATAAATTGTAATTAATTTACTACTTATGCAAAAAAATTTGTGATTTATAGTAGCAATATATGAAATACAAACTCATAATTTAAACTCTTGTTATGCTCTCCTGCCTTCCCAAAAAGATAAAAAAAATGTCATTTATTTTCAAATTAAAGTGTGTAATTTTTTTTTTGTGCATAATATCTTTGGCCAATTGAGAAAATGGCTAACTCGATATTTTCGTGAGTAAATACAATTTGAATCCAAGCCTTCACTTCTCAATGATTACAGGCATTAAGCTTATGTTTGAACCCATTACATATATCTTCCATCTCAATTTGTACATTAATCCCTCCCATGTAAACTCTATTATGTGAATTGTGAAATATTTGTATAACTATTGCTTAAAATATAATTGTGAAAAAATAAAACGAATGAATTTTCACAATTAGACAATTTTAGAAATTATAAAAAAAGCTCGCATTAAAATGTTAATTAATTAGTAATTGTAGTGTATGTGTCTTTCAGTACTTTAAATTAAATTGCAATATCCATTCACCATCCTTGCAGACACCGACACGAGCTGGCTAAAACCTTTTGCCAAATTTTGTTCCTTTTTTTATTTATTTATTTTTTGCATAAATCCACAAGATTAATTATTATTGTTTTCCTATTTATTGATAAGCTCAAAGCATTGATCTTAGTGTTATATATAGAAAACATGCATATCTAACTGACAATCTTTGAATGTATCAACCTTATCATTATTTGTAAGATTCGCTGTCCTCGAAGTCTTTCACGAAGCTACAATTGATTTGGGTGTAAAGCATTCCAATTCCTCCCCTCTGACGAACTTTGGGGGAATGGCTTTGTATCATGTTTACCTGAAATTACATTTATTTTCCTTATATTCAAATTAGACTTATTGTAGCAGACACTAGCATGATGTGTGAACACATATCAGTTTGGCAACTCTTTCTTTAAATTTATTTATTTATTGCTAAGTCAATAAACAAGATTGGCTTTCCCCATTCTAATTTTCAAGTCATCCTATATACAACTCCAATTTAGGTGATTGTCAAGGTTCTAAATATTAATTTACATTGATAATTAACACATCAATTTTTCAAAATCTTGATATGTAAATACTATCATAATAACGAAAAACATTTAGACCGATTTCCTAAAGTGGAGATGGTGAAGTTCTCAATTGATTTGGTTAAATGAAAACGAAAATTGAAAACCAAAACCAATAATCTGATCAAATCAATGAGTAGATCAATGACATGCAAAAATATTAATGAAGTATCTATCAACAAGACGTAATATGTAGTTAATGAAAGTGATGACAAAAATTTCATATTTTTTTTGGTTAAAACTCGTATTTAGAAAAAGCTAAATGTCAAAATATATTGAAATTTTTGAGTTTTTATTGGAAAAGTAATAATAAAATTTATTTTATTAAAAAAACATATAAGTAAAAATTAAGCACATCACGACAACAAATGGAAAAGATAACATCATTGTCAAACTTAAGTAGAAAACAAAAAATGTACCACTTGAAATGTCATTACAAAAGAAATAATCTTGTGACTTTAGGATACTAGATTTAGTAAGACCATCAGTTAACTCATTAATAGTATGAGAAATGTGTTAGATTTTTCATTTGCCTAGTATATGTAAAATAAATTTTCTCAATTTTCATGGAATTGAGGTAGAATTTAGAACTCAATTGACTGCATTAAGAGAATCACTGTCAATAATTTTATCTTTGAATTTACTGATGTATCAATTTTGATTTTGAATTTTAATTTTCAATTAATCATTTTTAATTCAAAACTTCACCTAAGTCTTATCCTTCATAAGAAACAAATAAATCAGTGTGGACATTTATATTAAGATCTCAAAACACGAACGTGGGTAATATTAGAGATAGTGCGTTTACAGTAATAATTGTTCATGTTTACCCTTAATGGCACTAACTGGTTTATGAAAGAGTGAATAGTCTGTCACTGATGCATTCTATGCGTGAGAACTGGAGTTGAGACATGGCAGGAGATAGATTGATATGTTATAGTGGTGATTCTGTTTTTGGTGCCCTGTTTTCCAGAGCTTCGATCATTACGCAGGTCGCAGGGTAATACCGCCCATGACTCTGTGCACATCGACTGATCGTGTTTGCTGTGTGAATTAATGTTGACTGGGCATTTGCTGCTGAGTAAAGCTGAGATGTAAAAGCCTTGAGAATTTTTGATTCTGTATTTAATGTGCCCAGGTGCTGTCTGAATATCTAAACATTTATGTGCCTGGGGTTTCAATTGTCTATGTTGGGTGGCTGTGATTCAGTCGATATGCATTGCTAACTTGACATTTTCACTTCTTTAACAGACCAAAATGGAGAGTGTGTGTGCAGGCAAAAACCGAAATACTAATACAAAAAAGTAAAATATTTCAATTTTTTTAAATTTTAATCAAAATTTTAAATAAATGTATTAACTTTTAAAATAAATATTTCGTGTTAAAATTACAAACAGTATTAATAGAAATTAAAAAAATAAAATATTTTTTATTAATTTAAAAAATTATTATTATATT